TCCTTGCACCGTTAGTGCTCGGACCCTAATGAGAAGAAAAGAAAGGAGCTGCTTCGTTTCTTTCTTTCTTCTTATTTTCCTGACCAATGCGAAAACTTTAATTTGACCCCCTAAACACGCTCAAAAACTCACCAAAATTGGCACACACCTCTGGATTGGCGAAAAATTTGATAAAATGAATGAAAAAAACTAACAAGAAAAGCTCTCTAGCGCCCCCTAGTTACAAAAAACCCCACTAAAACGGCCAGTAGGAGTGTCGTACAGAGATCAAACCAACACCAAAACGTTCGTCTCAATGAGACCTACAAATCTCGCGCTGACACCCCTGACCTATCTCAAACAGGAAGTCGGCAATTTGCCCTTCAAAGTAAAAAAAATGAGTGACCAAAACATCAACCAGAAAGTATGAGAACAGAGACCTGGTCTGTGGTCACCACCTGCAGAACCTCTCCTTTATAGGATTGTCCTGCTACCTGCCTCTCATCTCCACCTGGTGTCTGCTCCACAGCAGGTGAAACTGATTCACCATCAGTGTTGCTTCCTACCTGGACAGGTTGGTTTCACAGAAGTGTGACTGACTTGGAGTCACATTCTGTTGTTTAGGTGTTTCCTTTATTTTTTTTTTTGAGCAGTGTATTTTTCCTACTTTTTTGAAAATCCACTTGATTTGCGAGTTTTGAACAAATCCTGAACTTGGGAGGTCTTAAGCAAAAGTCTTGATTGTCAGAATTTGCTGCATTCTCTCCATTCACCAGAAACTCCTGAACATCTCCTGAAGATCTGAAGACTCCAGGATGTATACTTTAAGAGATCTGAACATCTGAACGTGGCATCTCGCTCAATTTCTAACTCACGAGAGATATATTGAAATTTCTATTGGATAAAAAATTATGAAAATGTTGGAATTTCAGCTTAAAAAAAAAAAAAAAAAAGGGCCGATGTCAGTTTCAGATACCAAAGATCATTCCTACAAAGTTTGAACAGATTCTATGAAGGTCAAGCAACCAGCTTCGCCGAGTTGACCCGGAATGACCTTACTGGTATTTATTTAAGTCAAATGGAAGAATGTGACACACAATGAAGACGATTTTATACCTCTGCAACATCCTAAATTACACTCAGTAAAACGTTCATACATCTGTCCCATTTCACTTCTTTATGAGTCACATTAGTGTGTTTTGGCAGACCTGCCAACAAGCTATGCATCAGATACCTGCAGGTGGAGGAGCCTCCTTGAACACAAGCCGGACAACATCTTCTGGTCAGAGTAACGGCCTGCAGTTATCCTGACGCCTTTGCATTATTGCACCAGTTTATAGCCATCTAGTTCTTCTTCCAGTTGAAATAGTTTTAAAGAACCAGTTAAACTCATATAAATGTAAAGTGTCCAGACAAACAAGGATATTGTACGTACTAAAGACACAGAGTGAACAAGAACAAGATGCCCCTCCATCTTTATAAAGAGTTTAGATTTTTGTCCACAGAGTAAACGCATGCTCCCATTTTCAATTCAAATCTCATTTATTTAAAATGAGTAACCAATCCAGGAACACAGAACACAGTAACATACAATAAAAAGCATGCATAAAACAAACCACACAAGTCCAAACAAGACAAACTTCTGCTACGACTCATAAAAACATGCAAAAAGCAACAAACTACATGTAAGATCAAATCTCTTTTTTTCAGATATAACATTTCTGACAACACAAACAGACTGAAACGGTGCTGCGGCGGGAGGACCGCTGCTCAGGAGGTCAGCTGGTTGCTGTAGACCTTTTGCAGGACCTGCTGGGCTGTGACCCTCTCAGCTTCCTCCTGCGTGGCACCAGCATTAGGTCCTGGCAAGACCGGGACCAGCCCCTTGAAAACCACAGTGATCCTGGGGATATGCACCTTGTAGGCAAAGTAGAGGAATCCATCTGGCCCAGCATGGCTGTATTGCAACTCATAGAGGGGCTGGCCGACGCCGGCCGCCTCACACACCTTACGAAGGAGCATCACCGGGGATCCTGCAAACACGACATGACCCTGGGAGGAGAAAGAGGAGGAGGAGAAGGAGGAGGAGGTCAAGGAGGAGCAGGGAGGGTGAAGTTGCTGGGGGGCAGTGGGTCCTCCCACAGCTCTGCAGAAATCTGGAGGGGTGGAATGGGTGAAAGCCAGGCGTGGAGGCAGGACCGAGAGCTGATGGGAGCTCTTGGCGTAGCGTGGAGGCTTCATGGGGGACTGCAGCAGGCCCTTGGGATGTTTCTGAGGAGACGGTGGCTCGTCGGGGTTCGACCTCTCTGCGAACTGCCACTTGATGGAGACAGTCAACGCAAACTGCTTCTTGAACGCTACAGACAGAAAAAAAAGAATTATAGCTGAGAAAAGCTGAGAGCAGGTTTGATTTATTTGACTTTTTTACCTTGAGAATAGAGTGAAAACAATCCAACATGTTTCTAATTCACCACAAA